GATATTCTGTTTGTAGAGATCCAGATCTTCTTACATCTCAGGCTGGTTTCGTGGGTGCTCAGAGTGTTCTGGTGAAATAGGGTCCCCTATTCCTCCGCCATCTTTCCTTCCCCCTTAAATAGTTTTCTATAATAAATATGAATTTCTATAATACTTACTGTTTTAGCTTTTTAATTTTTGTGTATTTATTTATCTTTTTAATTAAAAATTTTTATTGAAGTACAATTAATATACAGTGTTATATTACTTTCAGGTGTACAATATAATGATTTCAATATTTCTATCACTTGCAACAACATAGATTATAAAGGGTATAATGCTAAGTGAAAGAAGTCAGAGCAAGACAAATACCGTAAGATTTCACTCATATTTCGGTGATGCTCAGAAAATTTAGGTATTTATTAGCTACATGTCAGTTTCTTGAGTGTGAGATTGGAGAAAAGGCTACATGTGTTTCTAAAACTGGTTTACTTTCTTAGGTAGAACTGAAAGGATGTGGTTCAGTTTGGGATGATCAGGCAGACAACACGGTCAACTTCCTGGGATATTGTCCTCAGGAGAACGTGCTCTGGCCCAACCTGACAGTGAGGGAACATCTGGAGGTCTTCGCCGCCATCAAAGGGCTGAGGAAAGGGGACGCCACCGTTGCCATCGCAAGGTAAAGAGAGGTCATGTGATTCCTTTTTGTCCAGAGACAGGGAGGCTATTCCACTGATGATAATTTCACTGATAAAGAATGGAGAGCAGAGGGGCACCTGGGTGGCTCAGTCGTTAAGCGTCTGCCTTCGGCTCAGGTCATGATCCCGGGGTCCTGGGATCGAGCCCCGCCATCGGGCTCCCTGCTCAGCGGGAAGCCTGCTTCTCCCTCTCCCACTCCTCCTGCTTGTGTTCCCTCTCTCGCTGTGTCTCTGTCACATAAATAAAATCTTAAAAAAGAAAAAAATGGAGAGTAGAAATGATGTCTGCACCTTTTCAGAGAGTGTCCACGGTAGAGCAGGGATGGAGGGACGGGCGCTGTTTCCTGCATCCTTGATTGAGGAATCTTTAAAAAAAATAATTGTATAAAATAATTGACAATGTTAAATGAGTGAATAATCATGAATAATCATCCATTTCAGTTCCAAATTCAAAATTCTAGTTATTCTTTAGAACTTTTTATGAGGTGGAAAATCTTTCCTGTTCTGAAACAAACTTTTTCTCTTTAATCATGAGTTTCAGAATAATAGTGCCCAGCTTCCCTCCAATGCTATTACTCTTCTGTGGGATTACAGTTTCCAAAGATCCTCTTTGGAACTGACATTCTCCTCCTGTTTTCCATCAGATTGGTGGATACTTTCAAACTGCATGACCAGCTAAATGTTCCAGTGCAGAAATTACCGGCAGGAGCTACCAGAAAGGTATGTGGGATGTTTGATGTTATTCTGAGGGCTGACGTGGTGGCAGGGAATAAGGTGCTTCTCTGTCTTTCAGTTGTGTTTTGTGCTGAGCATCCTGGGAAATTCGCCGATCCTGCTTCTGGATGAGCCATCGACAGGCATGGACCCAGCAGGGCAGAGGCAACTGTGGTGAGCATAACCCTCAGAGCTACGAGTATAAACCTCATGTCAAAGTTGTGTTTTTAAACTGATCTTAGATGGGGCACCTAGCTGACTCAGTCAATAGAGCATGCAATTCTTAATCTCAGGGTTGTGAGTTCAAGCCCCATGTTGGGTGTTTAGCTTACTTAAAAAAAAATTCTTTTAATTAAAAAAAAACCTGATCTTGGAAAATCAAATCCACTCATTTCTAATTTAGTGGAGATAATCCATATCATTAGGAAAATAAATATTTCACAAATAGATTCTCTCATGTTGTATCATAATCATGTGGTATTAATGTTAAAAAAAAAAAACTCTTAAGCATTTTGTTGGAATTTTAGGTCTTGCAATTTGGAGTTCAATTTTTTTAATTATTGAGGTATATGTATTGAGGTGGTTTTTTTTTTTTAAGTCTATTAACTTACATTTTTTGTCCATTTCCTTTTCTTCCCCCCTTTACCAAATCTGTCAAATTTGCTTATCCAGTTTTTCTTAGTTTTTAAATTGTTTTTACTTTCCTTTCTAGGATGTACCATTTGAATTAATAAAATCATCCAATCTAATTTCATATTTGTGACTATCCAATAGTTTCCCTACTTCTTTAAAGAACTTCACTGTGGAAATTTTATACAAATGTAAAGAGAATCATTTATGAACCCAGTATACCCCTGACCTATTTCAACAGTTACCCATATAAGTCACACCTTTTTTCATTTTACCTCCACCCATTCCCTTTTCTCCACTCCTATCAGTTTGAAGCACATACTAGGCAGCCTATCCTTTATTTATAAATATTTCAATTAGTTTCTTCAAAGGATAGGAAGTTTTCTTTTTTAAAAACTTTAGCAGAATACCATTAGCATACCTAAAAATATTAAACACTTTTCTTTATATTATCAAAAAACCTAATCAGTATTCACATTTCTGGTTTTTAAAATTAGAAATATGACTTATAAATATGATTCATAAACTATATCTTATCTACACAATTTTCCCTCCATTTCTCTTTTTTTCCTACCCTTTTTTTAACAGTGATTTTTTTTGGGCTCATTTCAGGCAGATGATCCAGAAAGCCATTAAAAACACAGAAAAAGTGGCACTCCTGACCACCCATTACCTGGCCGAAGCCGAGGCCATATGTGACCGCATCGCTATCATGGTGTCTGGAAGGCTGAGGTGGGTGTCTTTCTGGAGGCTCTGCTTGACCCTCAAAATGAAATTCCCTGTGGAAAGAGCAGAATCACTGTGAGCACCTGGAGTTCTTCCCGTCAGCTCGCTCAGTGATGCCCTTTCCCTTACATTTGAAACTTAAGAATGTAAAAAATTTAAGGGGCAGTATATTTTCCAACATGTTTCCCTTCTTCCCATAGGTGCATCGGTTCCATCCAACACCTGAAAAACAAACTTGGCAAGGATTACGTTCTAGAACTGAGAGTGAAGGAAGCTGCCCAAGTGACTTGGGTCCACACCGAGATTCTGAAGCTTTTCCAGCAGGCTACACAGCAGGAAAGGTGAAGGAGCTTCTGATGATGGAGAAACTTGTTGGCTTTACCCACTCAGTGGTTTCTTTTCTGCTCTGTGAGGACTTCAGGGTGATTTGACTTCCTAATAAATTAGGGACCTCAAAAACTGATTTACTGATTCTTCCAGATTATAAGAGATTTGGGAGCCACCCAGGAAGCTGTGTCTCCCCCCACCCAGGAAGGCTTGGGGACACCTTACATGGGCCTCCTCAGCCACCCAAGGCTGGGCTTAGAGCAGGACTTGGAAAAATTGGGGGAAAGGAACTTCTCATGCCTGGAACCCACATGGGACCACAGTTGGACCCATGGCGCCCTCCACAGACCTCCCTGAAAATATTTGAAAGATGTAACTATTTAAGGTGAATTCCCCTCTTGGAAACAAACAGCAATCGTGATAATCAAATAGTCTCCCTCTAATGAGTTTTAATGCCTCAAATGGAGAATAGAAAGGTGTGTGTGTGTACCTATATGTGTGTGTGTGTTTGTGTATGTCTGTGTGTCGGGGGAGAGGGGGCCAAGGAGGTGGAGCAAGAACTGAATTTGGAATTCCTTGGAGGGATAAGCACGCCAAAGAAGCAAGTGCTATTTCCATTTTAGCACAGTATAAATGTAATGGAATTATCGAAGTCTATGCAAGGGCAAGTAACTCAGTCCTGTTCCCAGACTCTTGGTGTAACTATGTAGTGGGAAGATCATGAGTGGCAAGGCTGAAGAAGCAGGGGCTGGGCTGGAGAGGGCCAGGCCTGAAGGTCTGGGGGCATCACACTGCTATCTGGGAATGAGCTGAGAATGGGCATGAGGTCATCCAGCTGGAAATGGCACATGGAAGCAAGACGCCACAGATCCCCTCTGGCTCTTCCTCTCTTCAGAGGTCAGGGAAGTTTATAGTTAAAGCCTTTTGAACCCTCCCCATCAGGTCCCTCTCTCTTAACCTCACATCTCCCTTTCCTTAGCTTTCTGGTGAGAAGGATGAAATATTAAATGAATTAATTAATTGCAACCTAATTTAAGCTAAGCAAAGGGATTAGTTCAGATGTCTGTGTTCAACAACAACAACAAAAGGTTTGCATACACTGAGCATAAATGCAATTATTCTGGATTCTTTCTAGAAGAATTATCTCCAACAGCCAGCCACGAAAGACATTTTAAGAATTTTCCATCAGTCATTTTACTTACTTTTTTTAAAAACTTTTTATTGTTATGTTAGTCACCATACATTACATCGTTAGTTTTTGATGTAGTGTTCCATGATTCATTGTTTGCATATAACACCCAGTGCTCCATGCAGAACGTGCCCTCTTTAATACCCATCACCAGGCTAGCCCATCCTCCCACCCCCCTCCCCTCTAGAACCCTCAGTTTGTTTTTCAGAGTCCGTCGTCTCTCATGGTTCATCTCCCGCTCTGATTTCCCCCCCTTCATTCTTCCCCTCCTGCTATCTTCTTCTTCTTTTTTTTTTTTAAACATATATTGTATTATTTGTTTCAGAGGTACAGGTCTGTGATTCAACAGTCTGTGAATTGTGTAAGACTGTTGAATTACTTACTTTTTATGTAAGCCATACATTTATTTGTATTACTTTTATTTTCATCAAAGGAAATTGATGTTAATATCAGTATTTATTTTGATGGTCATTTTCTCCCCTTGAAACTCAAGGTCAAATATGACATTTTCATATTCCCAGGTATTCCTCCTTCTTGGTCTATAAACTACCTTTGGTGGATGTTTACCCTCTGTCTCAGACCTTTCGCAAATTGGAGGCAGGTAAGAGTTACCATTGTAAAATAAAACTTTTGAGGAATCAGTTCAGCATCAGGTAATAATTTCGTGGTAGGTAATTGTGTAATCCATTTTAAAAATATGCAAATTCTTAATGGTTTTAAGAATTCTAATGGTAGGTAGTGGTGGGATTTAACCCCAAAAGTGGTTAATCCAGTTCTCTGGAAAGAGGTTTATCTTCAGGGCAGGGACTGGAGCTACAGAAAACACACAGCTGAGCTTGGCTGGTTCTACCGTGAATTCATAACATTAACCTCACAAATTCACAACATTAACCTAGTGGGGGCTGCATTGCCTGTGTGCACAACCCATTTACACCAAGTGTCCTAAATTACTGCTTCACTCCTCTTTCCTTCCCTCCTGCTTTTCTCCCTCAGTTGATGCCCTTGCTTTATATTTCACTAATAAAATAAAAGCCACAGAAAACCTTCCATCCATGTACCCGCCTCCCTGCGTCTGGGTCGTGTGTTCTGCCTTCCTGTCACAGTGAACAAACTGTCTATGTCTCTTGCTAAGTCCGTCCCCTCCATCGTGCGGACTCCTCTTGCCATTCGACACATTGTCTACTTTTTCCCTTCATCCTCATTTTTCTGCTTTCAGCTGGGTCAGTCCCAGCAGCAGACCGTCATGGAGTAATTCCTCACACAGCATAGTGGTGAAGAGCTCCAAGTTCAGTGTCAGCTGGGAGACACTGGGTAAAGTTACTGAATCCCTGCATGTCTAGGTGATCTGTCTCTAAATGAGGGGTAATATCAGTGCCCACTTGGGCTGGGTCATTAGGAAGATTAAATGAATTCATTTGTGAAGTGTTTAGACTTGTACCAGGCTCATTGTGTTTGAGAGAATATGAATCCCCAGTTTACTCCCTCCACTCTGGACACCCTGACTTCCTAGCTCTTCCTAAATGCTACCAGACATGCATACTCCTGCCCCAGGACTTTGCACTCGCTGATCCTTCTTCCTGAAATTCTACTACTTCCAAATATCCAGCTTGTTTTCTCACTTCTTTCAAGTTTCTGCTCAATTCTTACCTTGTAACTATGGCCAACACCAACCATCCTGTTAAAAAAGAGTGCCTGGCACTTCCTGTTTCCTCTACCTGATTTATTTTCCCTCAGTAGTAGCAATCAGCATTTCCTTTATCACATATTTAAGTCCTCATTTATTTAATGCCCATATTCCTGCCACTAGAATGCAGAGTTTTATACACAAAGGCAGGGTTTTGTTTTCATCACTACTCTGTCCCTGGTACCAAGCGTGGCACACACAGAAGAGTCTCAGTGTGTGAGTGGTGAGCTGTGAATACGTGAATATGTAAATGTGGTTTCCTGGCAGGGACGCCCAGCATCAAGCTGGGCACAGCAGATAAACTGGCTGAAGCCAGTTACACGGAAGCACTGGGTCCTTTCAAAGGGAAAGGAATGGATTGAAATCCTCCTTGTGTGTAAGGATGTGTCAATCAATTACGTAGTTCCTCAAGGAACTTACGTTTCCCAGGACACATATACTATGTAATAAAATGTATCAAAATGTAATATGAGAAAATTCTCATATCAAGATTAATTTAATTTGTATTTATATTAACTTTATGACTTTTCATGATTCCCTTCTTTCACCAAGCATTTGCTTATTCAGCTGTATATTCTATTTATGTTAATAGTGTGTATTTTTATTTTGTATGACTTTGAAAAAATTCTTGGTAATAATTTGTAAGCATCTACTAGCAATCTTTTTTTTTTTTTTCCCCAGTGAAACATAACTTTAACCTGGAAGAGTACAGCCTCTCTCAGTGCACATTGGAAAAGGTGGGTCAGCTTTTATGGTTTGTATCATTCCTGTAAATTTCACGTAAAAGTAATTATACATATTTCCTATTTATTTATTTATTTTTTTAAAGATTTTATTTATTTATTTGAGACAGAGAGAATGAGAGAGACAGAGAGCACATGAGAGGGGGAGGGTCAGAGGGAGAAGCAGGC